GACACAACAGAATACACAAAGGCGAACCAAGGCAAATTTTATTACAGATAACTCAGAAAACTTGTCATGGTCCAGTAAAAGCTCCTATTTTTAAACTTGTAAGTTCTGTATTATTATCTTTCGTTGATAAAATCTGCTCACCCATCCTGTTTTCAGCAAGCAACGCAGAAAACAGCGCTATTAAACTGACTTTAAGCCTGGGTGCTCATTTCAGGTCTCTTATCTCAATAATATACAAAAAACTGAACTTGTAATTTTAATTTTATGCCCTGTGTTTTTTCAGCACAAAAGCAGTTCAAGTTGGAATAATTGAATGCTGTTTCCATGAAGAAACTGAATCATGAAGAAACAGGATGCTGTTTCCATGTCCTCAGCACACACACGAAAGGCCTGAGAACCAAAGTTTCTGTCCGCTGATAGTCGAAATTTCACAATTAGGTTACCCAGTCAAATGCTGGTACAAAAGTTCCCCAGCCATAATTCTTTCCTTACATAAATAACAAAAGTCTAGAAGCACGGGAATGACGCACGTTTTGCCGCCGAACCAAATTTTCGTAGTGGCAACATTCTTCATCTTCTGTCCGATGTAGTGCAACTTTCTCACATACTCCGAGCCAACATCTGAAACAGCTAACGACTCATTTATATGAATCATTTCATTTCAGAGCCCCTTTTGCCCTTCCCAGATCGGTTATATTCGTTTTTCGAAGACGGAAATGATGAAGTTTCGTCGGTGCACATGAAGCGAAAAATACGTCGGATAAAGTCAAGATCGAGCATGCTAAGATTGAAAGCATGTTTTTCACAGTGAGCACACAATGTAGATCAAGATTTAAAAAAAAACACTGATAGGAAACAGCAGCAAGGAGTGTAAGATTTGGTGAGGCTCAGAAAGCCTGGATCATAATATTTGGACAAACTAACGAAAACTTTGCCTGACACTTAAATGTGAACATGACAAAGTGGGTGAGGCTGAGTAGACAAGAAGAATCTATAAGATCTAAACAAAGAATTTAAATGACTCGTTTAGAGTCGACGATTTGTTTTCGTGAAAATGCCAGTGGCACAAACCCAGACAAACTGACTTAAAGTCGTTGATTTACTTATCTTGAAAATGGCAATAGCTGCTACCTAGACAGATTGACTGCCTGATATAAGAAGAGATTGATATTTTCGGAACCCTGCTAAGATTATGCAAACCTCCTCGTAATTTTTCTTTAGTAAGAACAACTATAGGTCTTCGTAACAAACGATAATCTTTTAGATTTTATGCGTAAATTACAAGTACTATTAGAACAAATTATACTCCAGTTGTAACTGGATCTCGGTAAAATCGAGAATTAATGGCACTAAAAATTAGAGCAAGATAAATGAACTAGAACTGACCGATGGCGATCGTAGTAATGGCAAGTCCGATACATACGTATACAAATGTGATTGGCAAAAATGCAACCCTGAAATCTATTTCACTTTAATTAACTTTTTACGAACGGAAAAAAAAAACGGCGAGTCGGAGCAGTAGGCAGAAACAGCCAGAACAATTTAAAGCAATGCCGAACTGATCGGGGCCATGTCAAACTGTATGTGGTGTGTTGGACTAATTGAAAAAGTGTGTTACTGGATGGATAAGCGTACAGCTGGTTGAAGCGATTTTGAACGGTCTATTTTGATCGTAGTGGCATTTCGATTGAGCGGGCAAGCACTCGCCAAATTTATCTGCCTACATAAGGCAGAACGGAAAGTGAGGTAAGGATACCGCATCAGTCTTCACTGGTGCAGTAGTGCCACACAGTGGTCGTCAAGGAGAAAAGTAGTAACAGCTGAGAATCGCGGCGTTTTCCATTGAATGTT